GTGGCGCGCGCTTCGCCTCGCTTCTCCCGCGCGGGGAGGCCGCCAGGGGTTGCCCCCTGCCCACGGCCCCAGTAATTCTCTCCTGTGTGCCCAGACCTCGTGTACCATGTGTGTTGCCGAGGGAGTAGCAGATGCTCAACAAATAGCTAGTCACCCAGACTATCCTACTGGAGTGCGATTGCTCATATTTTTCTCCTCTTTTTCTAGGGAGATTACACCTGCACATTCACGTACTCTGCTCAGGGAGGAACAAACGAGGTGAGTTAGGCAAACCTTCAAATGTTTCTCTTAAGCTCGGTCTCTAAGGCTGCGGAGAATAAGAAGCTATGCAGGAAGTCTCTGTTGGTAACAATAGTAGCTAAGAAGGATTTACGCACCCCAAAGATAAAGACTGCTATTCTGCCATAAGCCTTGTTCTGCTAAAATCGGTCGTTATTTTGTTTTCCAGATTTAGTTGTGGCCTGTGAGCTTGGCTGGTGTGGAGGTGTTAAGATTATTAAGTTTGAGTGCAGCGATGTTGTAAGATATTCCTGTTCTCAGATACAGCAGTTCCTGGGGAGAGACTAGTCTTAATGTTGTAGTGGCATCAAAAAAGCTCAAAAGTCAAGGAAAAACTCTTTTTATGCCTTAAAAAAAAGCTGAAAATGATAATTTTTAGTATCTGTGGGGCTCAAGATTTATAGAGTCTTTTGTATCATTAAAGGAACAAGAAACTTTGTTTTTCTCCGGAGCGGATGCTGTTACTTTTGTGATCGTCTGACTCCAGGAACTGGGAGCTGTAAGGAAAGATGGTTGCAACAGTTTGCAACAGTTTCCAATATTGCCTGTTTATAAGAGTAACTTGTTGGATTTGCTTCTTAAAAGGAAGCCTCCTTTGTGTGTTGCAATGATGCTGTGGTTTGCAAGGCCGTGAGGTTTGTAAGGCTTAACGAATCTCTGGCTTGGATGCCTCCTTTGGAGAACAAAGAGAGCAATATTTTCCTACCCCAGATGCTAGGAAGGGCCTTGTAAGAGTAACTCCTGTGTTCTTTACGAGGCTTGAAGGTTTTTGCAGTTCATGTTGCTGTTGCAGTAGGTGCTGTGCAGATACACACAGAGAAATTAATACTTTCTTTCATGCAAGTCCTCTATCTAGAATCAAGTCCTTTTCCTTTCTTGTAGAAGAGAATGAGACTTTAACTCCTCTCTGTAACTGTACTAATGCAATTGCTGGAAGGAGGCAGCCAGCCCTGTGCTTTGTGCTGTACAAGATAAAAGGGGCTATCAGCAACTGTGTTGTAATTTTTTTGTGTTATTTTAATAAGTCGCCGTTTGGCAGAGGGAGACTTTTAAAATGTTCTCAAGCTTTCTCCACCCCTGTCCTTTACAATAATACCCTTGGCACAACATAATAATACTACTGTAAGTTTCTGCCTCTGATTCAGTCCTGTTCCTTCTAATGAGCTGCTTCCCCAGGAGTAATTGCAGTGGTGGAAACTTGTGATGCCTGCAGCTGTTTGGAGAGGAAAGTGATTAGTGTTGGGGGGCAAGCTCTTACCCCAATTAACTCTTTGGGCCTTTCCCCTCCGCAGCAATGGCAGATGAATATTGGAGTCAGTGAAGACAACCTGCTCTTCTCCTGCTCTGTCTGGAGGTGCGTTGTTTAACCCTAACCTCTCTGAGGCAAAAGCAGTAACAGACTAGATGGGAGCTGAGCCACGGGCCATGAGCCGCTGCACCCTGCCGGTGGCAGTGGCGGCTGGAGTTGCGCGTCCTAGCTGGGTTCGCCTACCTGGCGGAGAGCATGCAAGGACTTTCTTCTCGCTAGAGGTGCTGGGATTCTGGGTGGGTTCTTCAGCCAGGTAGTGGTTTGTGAATGCTGTGGGGAACACCCCCCCGCCAGCTTCTACGCTAGATGGAGCTACAAGAGAGCCAGAGGTGCCCGTGGAGGGAGGAAGCGGTGAATCCTGCATACCCCTGCAGCTCCATCCTTTCTGCTCTGCCAAAGCCCATCCAGTCAACAGCAGGGACTAGAAGAAAATGTTTGACTCGCTCCCTCGCTGGGAGGTCAGAATAGGATGACTCTAACACTTGTGACCTGGAGAGCCAAGAACCAGCTTTAGCCCCTGTGCCTGAGCCTTGCCCGCGTTTTCCCCTTCCCTGTAACTTTTTCCCGCTTTCAGTGTCAAAGATTTTGCTCTCTTGTTTCAGGCCGCAAGGAAAGTCTTATCTCTTCTTCACCCAGTTTAAAGCTGAAGTGAAAGGAGCCAAGATAGAGCATGCCATGGCTTATGTAAGTCCCAACTGATCATTCGGAAGTGGGCACGTGGGAGGATGGCTAGAAAGTGTGAATTGGACATTAGTCCAATAAAATGTACTCCACCATGCCCTTAACTGGACTGTGGTGGCAGTCAGGAGAGTGGATGCAGATAGGCCCTCCTGCACCATTTCCTTTCTGTTTCCTCAAAGCCATCGGTCGGCTGCTGGCTTTGCCAGTGTCAGTGGCTCCAACAGACGTAATCCCACCAGGGTGCACAGGGCACGGGGAATCTTGGTCCGTCTCTGCAAATTGCACGTGACAAAGTAAATAAAACCTCTGCTGTTCTTTTTGCCTGTTTTATTCAAAGCGCTTGTTCTTCCATTTCCCGCTGTCTTCAGTGATGAGGCTTTCAGTTGTCTGAAGGATAGAAGTTCATGATTTAATAGGAAATGGAAAAATAGCTAGAGATTCTCTTTAAAGGTTCCTTTGCTGATTTAATTCTTTCATGCTATGTTACTAAAATGCAAACTCTTTTTTGAGACCTGGTTTTTGTTTGTTTCTTTCTTGAATTGCCTCAACTGCTTAAAACCTTCTTCCTTCCCGTTTCAGTCTAAAGCTGCAGTGGGTGGACAAAGTGACGTCCCCTTAAAACAGGAAGAATTTGAAATCACCGAAACAACAGGTCTGTGACCAAGAGAAGTATGTGAAAAAGGGGTTGGTGTGGGGAAACAAGCCTGACTGTCTACCAGGAGACGAGAGCTTAGAATTGGTGCAGATAGGTGACAGGACATAGGAAGATGCTGTATGCTACTGAGTGAGGGTTGTAGTGCTTTTGATCCACAGTGGACAGCAGGAGTTTGCAGGCCCTGTTCCAGTGTAAATGTTAATTGGCTTGGGGAAAGAATGGGTTTATCACAACATACTAGTACTTTGCATAGAAGGAAGTGCAAGGCCTGACATACTGGCTTTTTCATCCTGGAAAGGAACTAGCAGGGCTGTTTGTTCATGCCTTACCATCTGTTTATGCTTTGCTTGTTTTCTCTCTTTCTAGTGTCTCACAAGGAAGGCAAGTTCCGCTCTGAACTGTCCAAACTCATGATTGTAGCAAAAACGCCCCGTGATGAGCTGTGACCCCAAGGCCAGTGCTGGGCAGGGTGCTTCAGCTGGAAGAGCATGGCAGATAAAGGGGACTGCTTGTTATTGGCGGGGTTTTTGGTTGGCCAAATCTTTCCTGTTTTCCATATTGAAATGTGCTGGGGTCCAACACAAGTGCGACTTGGAGGTGTTAAGACAGATGCATTCTGTCTTGTGTCAGAGTAACAATGTGCTTTGCAGCTGGAAACCTCCATTGAGACTCTTGATCTGCAGCCAGCCATTCTGTCGCCCGCTTTCTGCTTCGCTGATCTGCTGAATATGGTAAAGCTCCCCTCTAACAGGGGCTCCTTATCTCCCTTGCTAGAAAGAGCAATGCAGAAAGATAAGCGGCTGGATTTGAACAAGGTTTGCTAAAGGAAAGTCGTTAACTCTGTAGTCTCTGGAGGAGGAACAGGATTTCTCTCTCTGCAAGCATGACAGGAGGAGCAAATTAAATAGGGTGGGAGGGGGAGGGAAGGGGTAGAGTTGGCTCTCTGACTCCTTGATGAGGGGGGCTGCTAAGACCATCACTGGTTTTGCTGGGGAGGATGTTCTGGACCTGCCCTAGCGCAGAGGGCGGGGTGAGATAACTTGGCACGGGAAAGGCAGAGCTCGCAGACTGTGCTGGCCTTCTTATTCTGACACAACCCAGGAAACCATCTGAGCAACACTTTCATGTCTCAGTACAACTGCAGGACTATTTTTTACCTACAGAAGTGATTTTTTTTTTTCTTATCTAGAGTAATAACACTGAGGGAATATGGAATTCTTTTTCTGTGTAAATACAACACAAATAAAAAAAATAAAGCATAAGGCTATTGCCTGAGTTTGCTCCCATCTGTGACTCCTGGCCTTTCCATCTGGATGCCTAGTGAGCAGCATGACCTTCGGCGTTTGCTTGGCCAGGAGGGGATGAGCTCTGAGGCTGCCAAAGGATTGTGAGGGGTCTGCCCATCTGAGAGGAGTCCCAGCAGATGCCCTAGTACCATTTGCCAACCTGCAACGACTCTGCGAAGACAAGGCTCCAGCTGTAAGTTTGCCCAGCAGCATAATCCAGCACTTTTGTCATAATGGGTACTTTGCCCAGAGGTAATGCTTGATGATAACTGTGTTTGTTGGTAGCTAGGAGCTGTTTTGTCCATGTTTGGAGGAGTTCCCCATTCTGTGGCGGTCTGGGGGGGGTGCTCTGCACCAGGGATTTTACAAGCTCTGTTTTCCAGGCTGTTCCTGGATGCTTCTCTCCCTGCTCTGCAGCTCCTTCTGGAACTGCAGGTGCCTGCAGGCTCAGGGAATGCTGCTATGTGGGCAGGTGCGTCCCCAGTGTGCTCCTACCTGAACCCTGAGCTGCGTTTAGGGCACTGGTGTTACAGCAGTCTCTGATCTTTCTTCCTGTTTAACCAGCTGGTTGGAGGGAACCAAAGCAAACGGAACCAAAGGGAGTCATTTGCCAGGCACGTGCAGCCGGGGTTGGGATTTGAGGTCCAGACCATAAGATGGCTCTTCTAGCAGAGACCGAGTTCTCCAGGGCTTCACTAGGATAAGAAGGCAAGCGTTTGGGAATGAGGAGACCGTTTGCTGTGAGGTGAGGGGAGAAGTCTCAGCTTAGACATCTGCATGTGGAGGAAAGCTAGTGCTGGACATTTGGTGAGTTAGATGCAGTCTTGTATCCCACACTGGGGTGCAAGAAATCCTGGGGACAAAGGAAACAGCAGCGAGTCAGGAGACTCGTTCCAGCAGGGCTGTTTCCTGCAATTAAGGAGCATCCTGCAGCTGGTGCTGACATGCACCTCAAGAGCAGAACAGCAAAGCATTTCTGGCTGTCTACACACCAGCCGCCACGGCAGCATCCATCAGCCCCGCTTTGCACGCTCTCTGCATCTGCCAATACTCCACCGAGCAGCGACGAGCTGTTTCCAAGCCAGGCCCCTCATCAGCACGTACCTGACAGCTGCAGGAAGCCCAGTAGGGACAGGGACGTCTGCTCTCAAATGTCACTCAGCAAAGGCCAGCTTCACCTGCCCTCTCCGAGGGGCCAACGTCTCTGCGAGTCTTGACCGCGTTCTCCTGTGTGCACACCTGTCAGTGCACTCTGCCTCCCATCCCTAGCTGCTTTGCACAGTTACATTAACTGTGGTATTTGGAGCAACATCTCTGAAATGACAAAGACAGGGGCTCTGTTTCTTTTTTTAATCTTAAAGTCTGAAACTTATCAGTGCCTCAAGCCAGCAGCGGAAAGGGAACGGTGAATGTGAGCCATGGAGCCGCTCTCCACTCAAAGTCCGTGAGCACTGGCATTCTCCCACGCCTGGAGACATCCCATGGACCGGGAGGCACAAGAAGGTCGTGAAGATAAGGCCGGCTGAGATTGTGCGGTGCCTGGTATGCTAAAAGGGCAATTTTCAAAGTACAAAGCAGAGATCAGAGCGCTGGAAATAGGCAACGGTTGTGCTCTCAGAGCATGGACGCACCAACACTTTTCCAGCATGCCTGTATTTAATTCTGTAAAGCTGCCCTTTGCCTTCTGTTATCTCGTTTGTGCTTTCCCAGCTCCTGTTGTGCACTAAGGGAACTCCAGGAACGCTGATGCAGAAGACGATGCGTGGGCATATGAGCTGGAGTGAGAACAAAGCCTACCCCAGGCCCCCAGCCCTTTGCTACGGGTTTGCTCTGTGTTTTGCATCGTGTCCTCCCACCATCTCAGCGCCTGGCTGTTGTGCCAAGGAGCAGGGGGCAGCCTGGTGGAAGCAGTTAAAGGGGGAAATCTTTCTTGTCCTCAGGTCAGGGGAAGGGCAGGCAGCCTAGCAGATGGAGCACTGATTCAGGTTCAGATTTTTATTCCCAGCTCTGCCCTTGGCTTGTAGGGGGATTGTGGGCAAACCACGTCCTTGCTTGGTGCCTCCGTTCTCCCTGTTTTCAAACCGAAGGCTGTTATACTGAGCGGTCTTGTGAGAGTCACTCAGAGGGAGTGGGGCTATTTGTCCTCTAGGAGGTGGGGGTGCGGGATCGCGCCTTGCCTTCACGCACGTCCGAGAGGAGGGGAAGTGATGCAAGAAGAGTCTAATCTGGTGAGCCCTCTCTGAGGGGGACTGAGTTCAGAGAGTCTAATCAGAAGGAGAAGCAGGCTCTGCCGGGGCTGTGATATCACTCCCATTCAGCTATGGGAGAATGAAAACCCCAGGCCACAAAGAGCAATCTTCATTTAAAAGACAAAGCCAGTCTGCCCACAGCCCTCGTTTTATCACTATCAACCACCTTCGTAACAACCACATAGCGCACCCAGGCCAAATAGGTGAGTTTATTAAAACAAACTCATCAGGGCTACAGAGTTTGCCTAAAAAAAAAAAAAAAAAACCACAACAATCCTAGTTCAGTCTAGGACACGCAAAACGCATGAATTACGAGCTTTGGACAGCTCCCAAGGAACGCATCTAAGCAGCCACAGTGATACCGTCCGCAGGAGGCTGGCAGGGGGATTCCAGTCGGGTCTTGGACAACCGGGCGCATTGAGGATGTAAAGAAGGAGCAGCAGGTCGCTTCATCTCCCTCCAGGCCCTTCCCTGGGGTAGACGTGTGCAAAGGCATGCAGAGAGTCCTCTGGTCTGCCCCCACCAGCAGTGAGAGCTGGGCAAGACCACAGCACGGTCCAGGCTTGGCCTGGGAGCGACGACAGAGCCCAACGCTGAGCTTCGAGACAGCGCTGTGATCTCTGGGTGACTGCCTCTGTCTGGGCGACCCATCCAGCCCAGGGGACTCACCCAGGCAAGAGGGGGTCCCCTTGGTCACAAGGACTTGCCTTGTGGGAGGCCAAAGCCCATTCCAGCCTGCAAAGTACAGAGGCACCTTTCCGTCTCAGGCAGCACAAGCCTGGAGCGTGGTTTGCTCCCGCCATGTCATGGAGCTTCTGGAAACCTGCTGAAATGAACTGCATGGCTTTGCCGCCCTACAGCTCTCTGGAGGGAGGATATCACAGCCCCTTCTCTGAGCAATTCCCCCATGCTCAGCTTCACCTTGCGGGTGTTACACACCGAGAGTCTTTGGTTTGTTTTTTTTTCCATAGGAGGATTAGAAGAGAGTTCAACGCAGCGAGTCCAATTCTGGTTGGTTCCTTGGACTCTGAGCTAAGAGCACTTTGTGGGCAAAGGAAAAAAAAAAAAGTACAGCAGGAGCCCAGGGAGGACAGGAGCCCAGGGTAACCTGCAAAGGACTCAGCCCAGCGCAGGGGGGCTGTAGACCCTGGGCAAGGGTTAGACAAAGTAAAGAAGTTCAGTCTTTATATAAAGGAGGAAGAAATGAGAGAGTTAGCACTAGAGAGAAGAGGGCATAAAGCCTGGCGAGCGCCAAAAGAGACATACGTCCCGTCCTCCGTCTCGCAGGCGGCAGGATACAGCGTCCAGCAGGCGCTGCCAATGCCCCATCTCAGCTGCTTCATATGTTGTCCTCCTCCAGCATCTTGTTAACCCCCTCGCAGATCCTCTTCAGGTGGCTGCGGTAGGGCTCGGCTGGCCCATAGAGGGCTGAGAGGAACTCGTAGTCCGCAAAGTGGTTGAAGACGTGGTTGATGCGGGAGTGGGATTTGGCAGTCAGATGGGTGTTGACAGCCTGGTGCAGCAGGTCCCGGCACTCTGTGAGCACACTCGACATGACCCTGCGGTCAAAGGTGAAGTCTATTTGGTGGAAGCTGACAGCCGTCATGGCCAAGGTGTGCACCTTCTTGCGGAAGCGCTCCATCAGCAGCAGCTCCTCGGGGCTGAACTGCCCGTTGCGGTACAGCACGCCCAGCTTCATGACGATCTTGATGAGGTTTTTGATGATCTTCTGGGCCTCTTTGCGGTTGCGGGTGTACTCCTTGGTGGCCCGGTAGAGCTCGTCCAAGATTTCGCTGCTTGTGTCATCAATGAAGACGTTGGCTATGGTCTTGGAAGCCATTTTGCTCAAGAGCTTCTTCTGGGCCTGCAGGGCCAAGGTCTTGGTGCTGAAGGTGTCCATCTCTGCAGGGGGGAAGAGACGCACACGGTTCAGCCCATGTCCTGGAACAGTCCCTGTCTCCTCCCCTCCCACACTGTCTTCTGCAAGGAGAAAAAGCATCCTGGTCTAACAGCAAGCCCAAAAGGAGTAAAGAAGCACTGCCTGGGTGCTAGGGCAGAAAAGAGCTGAGCTCACAGGCCCAGGCTCTCCTCAGAGGATGATTTCTAGGCTGTTCCTGGCTTTTTTCCCCTGAATTCTGGGAAAAACTACAGTGCGACGGGCTGGCCAGAGGGACGGGGTGCCCGCTGTCGAACGCAGGTGCAACGTTAGAGGTAAGAGAAGGCTCCCTACCTTAGAAAGGCTCACGAGCCCCGTATCCTGCCTTTCCTCCTGCCGCCGGTGTTGCGGCCCTACCTATGCAGGAAGGGCTCGCACCCCATCGTTGTAAGGCATCTTCCTTAAAACCTGACTCATTTCCTGCAGGGCAAGACGAGGACGACGCAGGTGGGGAGCTATGAATCACCCGCCGCAG